AGAAGGGAATCAATGCCTTTGTAGCCACAAAGAATATCAAAAGTTTATGGAAATATTTTGAACGTTTGTAAGTGTCAAAGATGGTTCAGCAAACTTCGTTCAGGTGACTTTAGCCTTAAAAACTGTGATGGCAGTGACCAACATGTTGGAATTGATGTTGATGCTCTGAAGACAATTGTTGAGTCTAACTCAAGGCAACACATTCGTGAAATGGCACTGAAATTGCATGTCTCTCATGAAACAATGCGTAAACATCTAAGAAATAATTGGAAAACTCCATAAAGAAGGTGTTTGTGTGCCTCATGATCTCTCCAATGATCATAGGTTCTAACATGTGAATGTTGCTTCATCTCTTTCGGTACATAATGAGCATGAACCATTTTTGGACAGAATTGTCACTGGTGATAAAAAATTAATTCTCTATGTGAATATTAAATGCCAAAAACAACAGCTCTGTCCTAGACAAAAACCACTTCCAACCCCAAAACCTGGACTCCATCTGCAGAAAGTGATGCTTTGAATTTGGTGGGACATCAAAAGAGTAATTCATTTCAAACTCCTCAATCCACAACAAACTGTCAATGCAAAGATCTACAGTCAGCAACTGGAACGTGTAAATCAAGCCTTTCACTCGTCAATTGGAAAGGTCTTCTTCTTCTCCATGACAATGCACGTCCACATGTGGCACATTTTACGCAACACAAGATTATGTATTTGGGTTAAAAAGTTCTCCTCCACCCACCATATTCTCCAGATATGGCACCATCAGATTACCATCTTTTTTGTTCACTGTAACATCATCTAAGTGGGAAAACATATGCAAATATGGAAGGTCTTTAGGACATCGACATGTTCTTTACTTCAAAGCCAAGTGATTTCTTTAATCAGGGCATTAACAACCTCAATGTAATATGGAAAAGCATCATTGATAAGAATGGAGACTATTTCATTTAAAAAATGTTTTGTTTTGATATACAAGTTGTTTGGTTTTTTCATCTAAAAAAAGTGACAATAATTTCTTAACGACCTAATAAATTGAGCTTCATAAGTAGTCAATGGTGTAAAGGCCTAATAACAACCATGAAGAGTACAGTATGAAACTCATTTGATGGGTTGAACAACAAGAACAGACAAAAATACATATTGTCTCAAAGATAAAAATTTGATTAAAATATAATCAAGAAAGATAAAAATAAAAATTCTAAGTGAAAAGTTTAAGTTGTGGTATTGTTCTGGCACATAACATAGGAAATGAAAGAAAACTAAACTAGAACTGGAAAGTAAAAGAATAAGTACAAAATGTATCGTAATTTCAAAAAATAAAACATCTGAAGAGTAGCAATGATGAGAAAAGAATGAGCCTTTGTTCAAATGCTAGTGCTCAGATGCATGTGGAGGATGTATCACCCCTTACTAGTGGAAGGCTATAGTCTAATGATGGTTACATCATAGGCTGATGCAACATATGTTGATATTTGTACAAACGGAGCCTTTGATCAAGGCTTGTGATGTGCACAGGAATTTACTTGGCAAAATAAGTGAGATAATATCTTTGTTCTGCGGAAAGGTGTGTAAAATATCTGAAAAGGACCTTTACTGCTAATTTATGCTTTTGCTGGAAGATAATATAATTACATGCGAAACACATACCAACAAACATAATAAAAGTATTGTTTTTATAGAAGGAGAGATTATAATGATGTCATTAGTCTTGATAAAAATTTTCTTACATATTGGAACTAAAAAAAAAGTTGAAGCTTTTTTAAAAACATTTAAGTAACATGTATTTAATTATTTATTACTTGGAAAAAATAGACTGGAATACACGTTCCTAAAACAATAAAAAGGAAGTTTTGAGCATGTAAAACTGTAATAATGAAAGCCAAGTAGCAGGAAGTACGAAATATTATAACAAAATTTGGCACTTCACTATATCTGTATAAAACAAAAATTCATACTTGCAGCACAATACACATGATCGGACTAAATTATGATGTTCTTTACATACTTGTGGACCAAGATGAACTAAAGTACTAATGGAGGGGTCTTGTTCCTTGGCCCTGGTCACAGGATGCTGCTGTTGTTGAGATGTTACTGATGTCATGGCTTCCACACTAAAAATAAACCATAAAACATTGAGAAACACTAAATTACTTGAAAATGACATATTGTTAATGAAGTATTGTGTATAACTTGAAAAGTGTAATGCTTTAAAATACAAACTGATAAAAGGACACAAGTTTGTTTTAATGATGAGGTTGAAAGAAACATAAACTTATATATATAGATAAGAAAAGTTCCATAAAAAATATGAACTACTTTAGTAACTGTAAGTCATAAAATTTGACTGGTAGTTATACTGGATACAAGTTTTTAATATTTAAATAGATTTAGTGAAGAGTCTGTAATGAATAAATCAGCATGTTTACATTTCATAAACCTAAAAACTAAATATGTGGTTTTCTTCATTTCAATACATAAAGACAAACTTAGCAAGTTTGTATTTCATAACTTTTTTTCTGTAGAGTCTTAAGTTTTCGTTCAGAGCCAACTATTACTGATTTACACCAATAGATGGCACTAATGCATGAATATGCTATATTGCAATTAGTTGATGATACAGTGTAAAGGCCGAGCCTATGTACAGTACTATCCCAATTGCATAGATAAGGTCTCATGTGACATGTATGTAACTAATTCTTCCTATTAGAACTCGCAAGTTATTAGGAATGTTTCTCAACAGTTGGTCAAGCTAATATTTAGGAATGCATACAAGCCAATCATAATATTCACGGATCAAGCTAATATTTTGAAATGCATACAAGCGAATCATAGTATTCACGAATCAAGCTAATATTTAGGAATGCATAAAAGCCAATCATAGTATTCATGGGTCAAGCTAATATTTAGGAATGCATACAAGCCAGTCATAGCACCCACAGAAACATAAAACTAGTAACAATAAAAATTGATTGCCGCTAATAAACAACACAGACAGGTTGACAGTCCTCAAGTTTATTAGTATCAGTAATATTGTTCAGTAATATTTAGTATTCTTGATTTCATAACAATATGATCTGTATTACC